GCGCAGTTGAGGGCAGCATGCAGCATGTGGCAAAAACTGTCAAGCCAAAAGGCATTCACGTGTCACTTGGCACAAACAAACTCAAAGGCAACTGTCAAACAATCAATGAACTCAAGAAGATTGGCTCCATGATGCCACCAAAATCCAGACAAACATGAGTGTTGAGTTTGGGACACTTTGCACTGCGTCGATGGCCCTGCTCTTGCTGCCACCTGCAGACACACAATGAAACAGGATGTGAATCAGCAACACTTCATGTTGTATAACCATACAGAAACCCCAATTCAAACATATTTTAAACAAGTGAATATCTAACATATCAACCAAAGAATCATACCATACGCATCAAGCCAAACTGCTAGGTCAATCACAGTCAGACATCAAAGTCAGAAGGCCCTAGGTCAATCACAGTCAAACATCAAAGTCAGAAGCCTTGTCTCACTCCCAGACATGGATTCCAACAGCACAAGACTACCAACTATGAAGTGCTCCGTGGAAGTTACTCAAATTCAATTTCAGTGTTTCAGCGTCAGGAAGTGATAGGCTTCAGAATCAATCAAAACCAGGCCCATGCCTGGAGGGACAGCGCCTCAAAAGAATAACACACTGACACTGACAGTCTTGGTGAGTTTGACATCATTGACTTTGAATGACATTGAACAACTTTGTGAGCTTAACATCATTGACTTCGAGCTGCCTTTAGTGAATGTCTTTGAATTTGAAATACATATGGAATTCACTGACGCTTTTTGTGCACTAGATCGCAACACACACACCCATTGAATCCCACGAAGGATGCATATCCACACCACCAAGCTGAGCCCTGGGTTGACAATCCAAACACACATATTCAAAATCAACCAGAGAGTGTGGCAATGCAACATCTCAGACTCAGGGCATTCAGTCTTGGCCAGAGCTGACTGGAACTTTGCCCTTGCGAGACGCCAAAATGCGGGCCCTGATTTCCGAAGCCATCCATGCTTGGTTGGCATTTTTCATCAGGTCAGGCTCACCCTTGTGCTGCTTGAGATAGTTCCCCACAAAGTTCATCTCAGCACATTGCACTTTCATAATTTACCAGAAGCATGAATGCACAAACACTTGGAGCCAGGCCACAAATGAAACACAACAATAGTTCTTTCCAAGGCACACGCGCATCATTCAAACTTAGAGGACGGGCAGGCTGAGCAGCGCCTTCTGCTTCACCATCATCTTGAGTAGCAACGGCCGCTTCGCAATCTTTGGCAGCATCTTGCGCTTCGCCACCTTGTTCACTTTCAGCTCCTTCACCTCCTGAATCTGTAGCATCCCGGGCCTTGCCCTTTGAAACCCATTGCTTGTGCCACTCAGTCGAGTTCTCCCTGGCCCTGATTTTGCGAATCTCCTTCAAGACCTTTTTGGACGATGGTGTCAAAGAGTTCATGGATGTTCCCTTGGCAAACTTTGGATCATCCTTCAGAGAGAGAGCCTTGGATTTCAAGAGTTCTGCT